GGTCGGTGGACGCTCGAGGGGCCCACGAGGGTGTGGGGCGCACCCACCCCTAGGGGGCACGCCGGGCACCCTCGTGGCCGCCTCCTCTGTTGCTTGACGTCCACTCCAAGTCCCCTGGATCACGTTTGTTCCAAAAAGATCGCTCCCGAAGGTTTCATTCCGTTTGGACTCCATTTGATATTCCTTTCCTTCGAAACACTGAAATAGGCAAAAAAAACAGCATTTTGGGCTGGGCCTCCGGTCAGTAGGTTAGTCCCAAGTCCCAAAAATGATATAAAAGTGTAGAGTAAAGCCCATAAACATCCAAAACGGGTAATATAATAGCATGGAACAATCAAAAATTATAGATACGTTGGAGACATATCACTAGATGATGACAATCTTGACTCCCTCAAGTTGGACCACCTTTCGTGATTGCGTTGGCTCGATGAAGGCTAGTTGATTGCTCCCCCATACTCCACTATGGGTGAGTCACTCTTCGGCACACCTTCACAAGTCCATTATCACTACAATGGACGGCAAGCTACAAGCATGATTTCTTCATGATGCTCCACTTGAACTTGCACAACACAACCTTGATTTGATGTCATCCTCCATGGGTTGTATGTGATCTTCCTCTTGACGCAAGCCCATGGAAGCAAACCTAACCCCACATAGAACTCTCACAAAGACCATGTGTTAGTACACAAAGCGCAGTGGACAATGCTTACCAAACCCTGAGATCACTTGATCCCACTCGGTGTATATTCTATGCTTTGTGTGAAATCTTCTCTCTTCATAAAGATAATGTCTTGAAGATACACATGAATGTTCACACAATCTTCTCTTCTTCTTCAAGACATGCTAGCAATAAGCTCAATACTCACACAGTAAAAAAAAAAGCTCAATACTCACATGACCAATCTTTGGTTAATTCATTAATAGCACCTTGGTCAACTCATAAACTCCTTGAAACCAACACATGGACTTCAAGAGATGCCTATGGACAAATCCATCAAATATAACTCAATGCAACCATTAGTCCATAGAGAATGTCATCAATTACCAAAACCACACATGGGGGCACCGCATGTCCTTTCAATCTCCCCCATTTGGTAATTGATGACAATCATTTTCAAGAGAGTTTATATAAGGAATTATGCACCACCATGCAATGCAACAACCAATAATGCATGCGTATGAGATGCAAATGTTTAGGAACAAAACCAAATTAAGAAGAAATAACTCTCTAAACTTCTCCACAAAACTCTCTGAAACTTCTCTCCCATTGGCATCGATTGCCAAAATGGGCAAAAAGCTTAGAAGGCCAATATAAATTGTGGTCCTCCGTAAATTGTGTATTTCTCAACAAGAGAGTGGAATGTAATACACAAATCCAAAGGTAAATACTTGGAGGAAGACAAACTATATTGAGGCCCAAATATTGCAAAAGAATGATATGCCACAAAGACATAACAAAGAGAGAAACAAGCAATCAAGCAATCAAAAGATACCAATTGAAGCAAGCTATCAAAAGATACCAATTGAACCAACTAGACCAATGATCCTACGTGCCACATGAATAAAAGATATTATGATATGAGCAAAGGAGTGTTTTAGAGAAACTAGAGAAGCTCCCCATGATTTGTGCACAATTTAGTTTTGTAATTGGATACAACGAGCACAAAATATGATCGTCACTCCCCCAAGATCAATAGAACCTCACGACAAGTGAATGAGAGCAAAAAAGTGTTCTAAAGACACTAGTGAAGCTCCCCATGATTTGTGCACTCCTTAGAATATTTGCATTAGGATACCAAGTGCACAAAATAGGATCATCACTCCCCAAAAATCAATAGAAACTCACAACAAGTGGATGTGAGCATGTAGGAAACAAAGCCTAGCACTTGCAACAAACAAATGGTTGAGCAACTTATAAAAGAGGCAACTTAAGAGTAGGCTCAACCAAAATGATGTGTGTGAGTCATGGTAAAACACTTTAGAAGACTAATGTAAGGGTGAGCATTAAGCATCAACATAGCCTTGAATAGTGGTGATACAAGGTGCATGACATGTCCTTCCCACACACACCAAGCAAATGGGTTCACAAGCACACCAAATATGCAAAATGAATAACCAACACTTGTGACAACCCATGTTGAAGAAATAAAATGATAGCTTTGTCAAGAGGAGGGATACCAATCGAAATGGCAAATGCCTCATCAATACAAGCAAGAGAAAAAATATCTTCACCACAACAGAGTGCATCAAGATGCAATGATATAAGATCCGCACCCAAGATAAATCCTTTCACATAACCGCCAAGGTAAGGTGGACATGAAAGAATAAGGATATCAACTACAAATGTAACTCCTCTCAAGTATATAATATTCTAGGTAGATAAAAATCATGATGATATCAATCCACAAAGAAATGTATGCACATGAAATAGTTACAAAAAGGAAAGAACAAGATATCCACAATAAATTCATATGTATACCAATAATAAATTTGCTTGAGAGCATAACACATGGATAGATATGGTCTTCTTGTATATAAATGAATTCCAACCACACGAACATCAACGACATCACAACTAGCAACAAGAGGTCATTCTTGGGATGCTTTGAGAAAGGAAACAAGTATCACAAGGAAGAATGAATAACATGCCATGATACAACCTACACAAGGTTGATGCAAGAAATGTGTGCATGAAGTATATGAAGATACTTGATACCGAGTTAACATTGTAAGGATGTAGTAGATACCAACTGAAGGTAGATAATAGTTCATTGATCATCCTAGCTTGACTCCAATAAGCACATGGTGACAACACCTTCCTTGTGAGTGAGCCGAACATCCATTGCATCTCCAATTGTTCCTAGAATAACAACACAAACAAAATGGTACCCAACCTCATTGGGACCAAAGAGTTAGAAACACCAATACATAGGACAAAATTTTCACACACACACACACACACACACACACACACACACACACACACACACACACACACATATATATATATATATAGGGCTGGACTATTCTGTTACTAGTAACAGAATATTATTCTGTTACTCCCGGGACATATATAGGCCCGATAGTGATTTCCAACAGCCCAACCGGTAC